ATGTTGCCGTATTTAGATACATGAATAATGATTACCTAAATTTGTTACTATTTTGTTAATCGGCGACAGCGACCACTCACACTCGACCTTAGTCTAGGCCATGTTATGGAGCTATTTCAATTGGCAAGCCTTCTTCACTTTCTGCGAACTAGTTATGCTCGCAAATAATGAGGTGAAGCGCGTGTATGAGCATACGCACTCCAGCCGCTGTACGAGACTACGGGCATCGAGGGTCGCGCGACGACCTCGAGCCACTGTAAGCGTGGGTCTGCGGACGACAAACAAAGATCGCTGCCCGACCAGAAACAGACCCGAGAATATGCGGCCGTGCCGTGTCGCGGTCCGTGCGCGCCTTAGACATGTGTGTCAGAGACGGGCCTCGGAGACCCAAAAGGGCCGGTCTGCAGCCGGGTTTACGAGTGCAAGTGCATTAAAGTAGCGTGGCTACAGCCCAATGCAGAACAAGGAACGGGGATGCATGTAGTTTGTAAGAGCCTGACACTCCCTTTATCAATCATCATCAAATTCTCGGCTCTGAATTTGTTGGTAAATATATTATTTGAAAGGTGGTTTTTAAATCTCAAACTATAGTTTAGTAAAGAAGAAAATAAACGTATACGCATTAAACAGATTTAATATACATATATAATATACACATATATAGGTAATTTATTATGTGTTCAATGCGTTTAGGAATTTTCCCCACTATCTATAAGGCAATGAACTTATCTTCGAGTACAAGAGAGTCAGTTATAATAATTTAATCGTTGATGAATATTCATAGCATTTTAATATTGTTATTTGCGTAGTGGTTTTATTTCTTTTGGGAATTAATCAAACATATTATTATGTTAATCTCTAAAGTACAGTCTTGACAGTTATTTGATATGTACCCAAAAAAAAAAAACATGACACTGAGTGGAGTCTATAACAAGGTATACTTGTTATTCTAGATTGAGTAAGTATGTAGTTTTAAATCCAAATCCAAATCAATACTAATATTATAAAATCGAAAGTAATTAAAGAAAAGTTAGCTGTCTGTCTGTCTGTCTGTCTGTCTTTTCTTTACACCTAAACTACTGAACCTATATCTGTGAAATTTGGTACAGACATAGTTTGGAACTCGAGAAAGTACATAGATTAGTTTTTATACCTAAAATCTGAGAATCAGAGTTACTTTCACATTTATAATGTTAGTTTGGATTATCAACTACTAGCCATGATCCTGGTTTTTTTTTAGAATCAATCTTTGTCTTTTTATCTGCATACCAGATATCACATCTTGGGTAGAATTAAGTTGGCGTGTCGCAAGTCCTTCTTAAAGTATTTAGGGAACTTCAGGTAATATTTTAGGCTACCTGAGAAATGTGTAGAATGACAGCGCTGCCGGAACATTTACACAATAAAATTAAATTTACATTTTAAGGGACGAGGTAAGGGTTGGTCTTGTCAACGGTTACGCATCCATCTTTGCTGCAAAATATTAATTAAAGTGTGTCCTTTCTCACTCCAGTATTGATCTGGATGTTGAACAATAGTTGAAGTCTTCAGTTTGAGACTCGATTCAAACTAGACACTTACTACTACTTAACCAAATATACATAAAATGTGCGTTAAACCTAAAAAATAAATAGTATTATCTACACAATACCTATATAATATTCGTAATCTGTTTTAATGTTATTACTCTTTTTACACTGTTTTTTTCTATCATTGATAAGTTACATAATAAAGTTTTATGGAAAATTTCGTTTTACTCATGATGGTTTTTGTGTGTGTCTAGGTGAAAAATTGTACATAGGTTCTTGCCTTTGTTGCATTATCCAATATTCAAAATATCATTTTACCATGGGTGAAGCGAGGGAGTGTCAAGCTCTTGCTCTCTGCTCCACGCCAGGTACATAAATTACCGCACTACTTTGCCTGCGACCCCGGCCAGGTACGACAATCCGGCAAAGGAATGACTTCGGTAAGATTCAAAACCACATGTTAAAAACCTTAGTCGGTTGTGGAAGTCTCCAAATTGAATACGACACTACTAGCAATGAGTTAAATTAAATTTTAATTTATATAATATTTCACATTGAATATAAATTGACATTTGATTTCTGATAACGTATTTCACTAATTGTTATGATTGTACTATACATCGCTATTATGAACTTAATGAAGTGAAATATACATATTATTTTGATTTGCATTAGAATTTAAATAATTTGTAAGTACATGCTTCAGTCAATGCTTTAACATAACTATTATTTAGCTCAAAAATGTCAAAAGACTTCGTCATTTGGCACGTCTGTAGTTAGTATAGTGTTTAAAATGAGGTTGCTAGTATATGATTGATTAAAAAAGCAAAATTTAAAATACAATTTTTAAAAAGGTGAACTAATTTACTCCAAGCTCATCTATACTAATATTATAAAGAGGTAAAATTTGTAAGTTTGTATATAGGGGGTAATCTTTGGAACCACTGGTCGGATTACCAAAATTCTTTCACTGATAGATAGCTACAATGTTCCTGAGTGCTATAGGCTATAAAACATCACGCTAAGCTCAAATGGAGCCGAGCAGCGGGTGAAACCGCGAGAGAGTAGCTAGAAACTTAAATAAAGGAAATATAACTTGAGAGTGGATTCCAAGTCTTACTTCAACTCAACTAATCGACAAAAAATGCATGCGTTTAGTAGGCATAATTATGCACTTACCGTTCAAATAAATAAAATGTGGAAGGAAAGAACCAATGATAATTAATTTCTTGACTTTCATACATATTATTTTAAATTTGAAATTTTCCTAAGTATCCGATAGTTTTTTTAATTAAGGGGGATAATGTCGAATTATTAAAATAAATATAATATTTTGGCGTTCTAATAAAAATACAAATAGAATTGAAGTTTAGGAGTAGGTCTTAGCTGTATCACTATTAAGTAGGTATAAAGAAATTTGATGTCAAATTATATTTCAAATCAATATATCGCCGAAAGGTTTTGATTCAGTAAGAAAAGGGATTTTTTTCCCGTTTGCTAGCAGGCAGAATACAGTGACTTTTAGGTTATAAGATCTTTCCTTCTAAACTATGTATATGTTACAAATGCAAATTATGATTTAATTTTATAAATACGTGTTTTATGTTACTTTCAAACTAGACTGCCAGGTTTACAATAGACATAAAAATAATTAGTCATCGTAATACTTTTTTTTTCGTGATGGGAAAATCATCAGATGACTTCTCCGGCCCAGGGTCGGGCAGGAGGGAGTGTCAGACTCTTACTGACTAAAAACGCCCCCGTTCCGTCTCCTGCTCGGGCCGAGGCCGCGGTGACTCATTGCGCTTAACCCGCAACCCTGACTGAACATCAGCACTATAAGGCCCCGTCTGTGAGTCATGGTAATACATAAGTTTTGTGGAAAATTTCGTCCGATATTCACTAGAAAACTAAAAAAAGATTTATAATTACTGATGAAATATGATTTAGTCGTTTCACTATGTAGAGTGGACATGCAATACCATAACAAACAATGATAATACGAAAAAAGTATATTTTTAAACAAAATTTCAACTTCACAGTCTCATAATAGACTTGCTGTGGTTTTTGCAAGTTCATTTTTATATCCATTTACCTAAGGTACATTTTAATTTGGCTGGCTTCTTCATTATACATTTAGATTGGCATGGAAACACTCGCATCGTCAATAATTGGTTTATGCTCTAGGGCTGTGTGATTTAAATCATTCATTGAATGAATTTAAATAAATGACTTATTAGTTTTATTAAACTCTATTTCAATAAATAGTTGTTTAATGATAACCACAATGATACTTAGAATCATTGGTCAATTGTTAGGTTGGGTTGTTAGGCGACTAATTAGAAGGATAATTCAATTTTTTTTAAAACAAATTTACGGCACTCAACGTCTATTCTAAAGTTTCATAATAAAAGTAGTGAAAAGTAAGTATCGTTCGGAAATGTCGACCTTAATGTACAAGAGCAAAGATGTGCCACAGCCCTTTACTTAGGCTTTTCTTCACAGTATGAGAAGAAACTAGCAGGATTTTAGTCAGTGCGTTCCTAACACTCTTTCTCGTACCATCCTGGGTCAAGGAGAAGTCCGTATATGATTATCTGATACTGAAATAAAAGTTAAAATTTATCTGCTAAAGTCCGGTCGCGGAGCAGGAAGAAATTCGTACAATGACCTCTTTACCTACTGACAGTGGTCACAAACATTTTTGTATAAAGTGCAGTTTATAATATTTGAAGGAGAAAAAAAATACTAGCTTATTAAATAAATTATTTCTTTATTGTTAATTTAAATAACAAAAGAGAAAGAGAACTAACAAATAACAACAAACTAAGATAACTGAGATTACTGTCCGAAAACTGAGCGATCACTAACGCATCCCGAGATGGAATGTCGTTCGTTAAAAAATTATGAATTATTATATCAAGTAAGCCATGTCATGACTCAAGGCCAACCAAAAACCACAACCACAAACAAACAAAAACAGACCTTACATTAGTAGGTAAAAGGTTCACAATCCCTGAGTGCCGCGGTCATTGGATTTGTGCGAGCGAGACGCATCATATTTACGCGAGAGTGACAGAGACAGGTAATAACAGGCCACTGTACGAATTTCTTCCTGCTCCGCGACCGGACTTTAGCAATACTAGCTTCAACCAGCGGCTTTTCCTACGAAATGTGTTGATAAAAAGCAAAACAAAAATGTACAAATACGGTAATTTTAGTCTTTCATTAACAATGAATCACTTTGAAATTAAATTTAAAATAATTTATTGCCCAATTAAAGGCTTTAATACTAACAACTTAGAACTATACTAACGGCACACAAACAATGTATTGTAATAAAAGGCCCGTCTGGTCGTCAGCCGAATCGAGTTTTGAATATTATTTCGATATCAACAACGTTTCGCCTCGAGGCAGCCCTGAAAGACGCGCTATAAAAATATACCGCTATCTGCTTACGTCTGCAGTGTGCGTTGTATATGTTGAGCAAACAGTAGTATCGGATTGTTTTTTGATGTTACACATAGTTACGTGAGAAATTCGTTGACAATGACATTAAATGTGATAGAAGCGGAGAATGTTGATAATGTGCCTAAAAAAGGGAAGACTTACGTTCAAGTGTTGGTGGCTATTGTAGGTAAAATATTGGATTATTTTAATAATGTTAATGTTTAACCAATTTCGATCTAAAGTCAGTGGGATAAGTTCGATTTTTGACTTTATTTGTATATAGAGTTTCTGTCAAACACAGTAATATCGATTCATTGATTTTGAATTGAGATTAGTTGTTTATTAAGGCCGTAAGTTTTTTAAAAATAAATTCTATTTCTCATTTGTTATTGTTTACTTTATCTTTGGCGTGTACTAGAATGTTTAATGGGTTATTTAAATTATCTTTTATTTGTTATTGTCTTGGTAAATATTCTTACGCAAAAGTCGAATTTATTTCAACACTGTAAGATAGTAATTTATGTTGTAATGTTATTTCCGTGTTATTATTTAAGAAGGTAGTCCATTGGGTGAGGCCTTTGCTCTCCTCCCAACTAATATGATAATGGTTTTTATTTTAATAGTGTGCTAATACATATGTATTAATTTGTGTGACACTCTATCCACCTCAAGGATTATAAAAACAAAAGCACATCAAATTTTAGAATAACAACATTTAAGTCAATAAAAACATTTGTATTGACACTACTACTATTATGGAAATAAATAAATTCAGCAATTAATAATACTAAAACAGGATATCATTCAAGTTTCTACTATAAAACAACTACTGTTAAGTCACATTTTTAATTGTGCGCCTTACGTAAATGTTCCAGCATCGTGGTGACCCTTTGTTGGTCGGTCCGCTATACATTTCAGGGATCGCTTTGGCGAACAAAGGATATCTCATTACTCCTATAATTAGTAAGCTTGGCACTTGTATTGTTTTATTGTATGACTAATTAATGCGCTAGGAACTACTGCATCTCATTCAAAAAGGAATGAAAGCTAATAATTTTGCTTTACGGGACAGAGTTAAGTTTTTTTTTTGTGCTATTAGTTTGTTAAAATCGATGGCAACGTTTTTTTTGTGCTATTAGTTTGTTAAAATCGATGGCAACGTTCATTGCAACTAGGTAGTGTGTTGTTCTGTTAAGGGATTAGCAGAACAACACACTGATGGTAAGCAATCTTCGCCACCCATGAGCACTCACAGCATTGAAGAGAATAAGTGCCTGTCAAGGTTAGGGATTTGAGGCTTCCGAAGGAGAAGATCGAGCACTATAACCGCTGGTAACATTACCCACGAGGAAATACCAGTAGGTGTTTTACGCCACTTTCCTTTAAAGCCGTTTATCACGCTGGTCGAGCTGGCCAATTAGTAACGTACCTTCTCACACAATTACCCACTATTCGCCCCTTTAAAAACCAAGAAGAAAATACCCACCGAACTTGTTCTTTACTCTTTTATTTATCTTTTGTAGCGAACACCACAATCCTCACATATGGGTTTCAAGCGGGATGGGTGTCACCAACAACAAAGGTCCTACAATCAGAGAACTCCCCTTCTGGATATCCATTATCGGATTATGAAATATCATGGATAGCCAGCGCTATATGCTTGGCGGCCATGTTTGGGGTGTCTCTATTCACATATATTGTAGACAAATATGGAAGAAGAGTAGCTATTCTTCTGACAGCTGCGCTACAAGCGGTAAGTTTTTATGAGCTAACTAGCGATCCCCAACTTCACACAAGTGCAATTCTGATACCAAACACCTTCACTATTTAATGGACGTTATACATATAAACCTTTCTCTTCAATCACTCTTTCTATCTATTAAATACCGCATCAAAATCCGATGTGTAGTTTTAAAGATTTAAGCATACTTACATGGGAACAGAGAAAGCGACTTTGTTTTATACCATGTAGTCGTAAAATATTTAGTTGCACTGCCTAATTATAAAAAAAAATGTTATAAGAATTAGCATGGGGTCATGCTACCAAGTAGCTTTAGTGCATTTAATGAATCAAAAAATCATAATAAATAAATAATGTTCATAAATTTTTCTGTCTATTATAAAAAAAAAACATGCTGTTTCTAAGCTATTTTAAATTTTACTCGTGAATTTATTATTTATAGTTACTTCAAATATGTTTTTTCTAGATCTCCTGGATATTGAAACTATCTTCAGCACATGTAGGAGTTTTGATCACAGCTAGACTCTTTGCTGGACTTGGTGCTGGAGGTTGTTACAACGTAGTACCAATGTACGTCAGAGAAATAAGCCAGGATGACATAAGAGGGGTGTTAGGATCCTTCATAATTCTGTTCCACAATTCTGGTATACTGGCAATGTTTGCGATGGGAGCAAACTTGAATTACTATACTGTGTTGTGGATCGTGGTTTGGGTGCCAGTGTTAACTATAATACTTATGATAAAAGCACCTGAATCACCTGCTTTCCTAGTGAAAAAAGGAAAGATTGATGTAAGTATCTTAGCAATTAAATTAAAATTACTCCTAAATTAGTCTTTATTGCTTACAAAATAAAGGTCTCCAAAGTCAATGTTACCTCATATAATTGACTCGGCCTCGTTCTGCCGTTTCAAGACATCTACCTCAATTTCCTGAGAAAACATTTGATTTATTCCTTGTCTCAATTCTAGTTGGTTTTTCTTTTCTCCTGACACATTTATATACTCCAATTACGTACGAAGTCCACGCAACAATTCTCTCTCAGACCGTTAACACGAGTTCATTACGCCCAAGTGATATATTTGTTCACAAAGCTACGGTAATGGGGCAATTTACTAATCCATTAATAACGCAAAAACATATCTGGGCTTGATGAAATTGACGAAATATAATATAAATATGTATACAACAAATATTTGAAATGTACATTACTCAGAGATTATAATTGTTACTAAAACTATTACTAAGAACTGAGTCCAAGGTTTTCATTAATAGAATAGATATTCCCTTTTCCAACATAGATACGTCATCAACATGTAACTGATAAAAATTTTCATTCACGAATACACGACCAAGGCGATGTACGTGTGATTTCCCGAAATTATAATATTGAAATTTTAGATGGGCTCAATAGCTACGTGCTTCCATATGCACGAATGACTATTGAACTGTGTCAATGGACATTATTTTTACCGTTAAAATGGTATTTATCCGAATAACAAGTTAAATACAAGAGGTGAAAATTTACAAGCATAAACAACATAAAACCAGGCTCTGACAAATTGTTTTTAATGTTTGACGTGCTGGACTTTAATGTCTATCATATTACATTATTTTCACAAAAAACAAAGGCATCTAATGCAAAATTAAAGAAAAAAAGGTCTACCTCGCTCCAACTGCGCTTAAGATCTGTATGAGATGTGCATAATTGATATCAGGTGAACCAAAAACCGTGTTTCGAAATACTGAATTTGCCCCTGAGGGAGCAACTTCAAGAGCAGGAGGAATGTGAACATATTTCCTGTTAGAAGCATATCGTGGAAATATATAAATGAAAACGTCTACCATAGCGTAGATATAGACCCAAAGTACTTCGAAGTAGAATTCTTTCTAGCAAATTCCATTTAAGGCTCGGAGTTCGTACCGAGCATATTCCAATAAATTCATTTTATTTTTAACATTCTCATAACAATAAAAGATGTTTGTCTTCCTAGAAAAGCGAGCAGCTGTGACCTGAGCTTAGTTATACCATTTGAGATTTACATATGAATTTTCTTTTCTCGTACAATAGAAGTCTTGCTAAGTACAAAGTAAATAATTTCTACGTAGTATTATGTTTGATATTACAGGAAGCAGCCAAAACAATAGCGTTTCTAAGAAGATTGGATGTCAATGACAAAACAATACAGACTGAAATTGAATATATGAAAAATCAAGAAGTCACCTATGCTTCGTTGCCAAAGCTTTCTTTCAAAAGTTTATGTGAGTGACTAAGTATTTTAGTCTAACATTTTAATATCTATTAAAGAAAAAATAGGTCGGTGAGAATAAAGCTGATGTCATAGTAGAATCGGCTATAAGTTTTTTTTCTGAAATAGGTCGGCAAACGCGCCGACGGATTACCTGATGGTAAGCAATCGGCGCTGCCTAGCGCCGCTCCATATACCCGCAGTTAGGAGTGCGTTGCCGGCCTTTCCGGGATTAAAGTTCCGGATATTTAAGGATTGGGGTAGAAGTGGGCCTTCGGCAACCTCACTCAGTTTGCTCAGTTGTTGTAGTCTTGTTTGTTGTTGTTAACCATTAGTCTATCAACGTCTAAAAATCTAGTTTAACATTTTAAACACATGTTAAACGGTTTTCACATACGTTTAGGCTGTCAAGGTTTATGAAATTCTCTCAGTTAGTCTTCAGTGAGCTACGTAAGTAGGAGTTAACGCGTCATATTAGAAGAAACTTAAACTGCTTCAACAATTATTAAGTTAATTTTCAAAGCACTTTATTTTTAGGTTCATTGTGTATTCATATCTGCCTAAGCCTAGTTTAAAAATGTTTTAAAGACTGTGATTTTCCACTAACATTAAAGAAGTTGTTGACAAAAATAAGTGAAATTAATAGTCAGTACTTCGCTTTAAGTAAACGTCAGTTAATGATTTTTTTATCATTAATAAAATATTCTTGAGTGAACTTCGACCATTTATAAAAACTCATAACTTAACCTTTTCATTACTTTTATGTATCTGTTTAAGTGACAATTTATCGATAAATTTACAGATCAAAACAAAGCATGGAGGCGTGGATTCATTCTGAACATTATACTGATGACATTAAGATCGAATAGCGGCAACATGGCTGTTCTGAATTATGCGCCGGCCATTTTGAAATCAGCCGGTGTCACGTGGAACCCAGAGCTTCAGATGTTGAGTTTCCCCGCAGTTATGATCCTCGCCTCGTTTATCTCAATGAGTTGTGTGGAAAAGTTCGGTCGGAAGGTAAGAAGTGTTCCAAAGTAATTTTGATAAATGTGCTTGTACGAGACTAATCTCTATTTCTGATCGGATTAGAACAGAAAACCTTCCCTTTACTTTGCGTTTTCTACGTTTTATTTGAACGTTTGTTTTTTTCTCTCGCGGATTTCGTTGAGCTCTGATTTGTAGGGTTTTTATTTTTGCAGCTTTACTGTACAATTTATGTTGAGCTGAGTATAAAAGTTTTGTATATGAGGTATTTAAATGATTAACAATTTGAGGGTATTTAAACTTTTTCTAAACTGATTTTGTTTTTAACATATTTTGTGTTTAATTGCGTTGAAGTGAGTGGGAGGAATATAAAATGCGTTTTAATTAATCATTTTACATCATCATTACTTTATTTGTTTAGTCTTATACAGTATTGTATAATAATAGTCGGAGCACCTTTTTAAAGGATTGGTGGTTAATACTCCTTAGACCTTTATAACTCGGCACAAGAGCAGAAGCACCACCTGATGGTAAGTAATCGATGCCACCCAAGTGCGTTGCTGGTCTTTGGAGGTTTGTGGATTGAGGATTAGGGACGGGAGGAGGATCGAGCCTCCATGACGGTGGTCGTAGATATTATGATGGTAAATACAAAGCTATAAAATCATGAATACAAAGTTATAAATACACTGCTTCACAAACCAAAAAACCATTTTAGTCAACAACCATTGCGGTCCAGTGTTAATTTGTATTTCGCGTTGATAATATTAAATTCTCATTCAAAAGTTTAATTTCAGTAATACCACTGCTATCTCCGTATAGTCCGCTTGGGATATTAACCTGATTCTGTGTAGCTTTAGTTTGTAAACCTACGTATTAAGGGATATATTTGCATGATTTTTATTTTTCGCTTAAAGACTTTTTAGTTCTGACTAATTATTAGAATTCTTATTTCTTTTTGGTTTTCGTGCAAATATTCAACATTCTGTGCCCTCTTAATACCTTATTGCAAGGAAATGATACCTTTAGCATTTCACATCAACGACTTGGTTGATTAAAACACGTAATTTTAATCACAATACCAAACTAAGAATTATTTTACGGCCTCGTAGAAAACCAGCGTAAAACCATCTTGTGTTGTGGGCGATTAAGCGAATACGACTGCGAGTAGAGAGAGCGAGTGTAATTAAGGTCTTCATCGTCAATTTTCAAATCTCCAATCCCAAAATGCAGGTAACGCAATTTCAACATGGCATACTGACTATGGGTGGATTAGATTATTGACCATTAAGTAACCTGTGTGCTTAATAACCGCAATATCCCAAAGTAAACAAAAGGATCATAATATTTCCAAATTAAGAGATTAATTTAAAACTATATCTCCTCAATAAAATCGACCAACGAATCGTAATAAGTGAGATATACCTATTATTTGAATTTACATAATAGTATTTGGATAAAACTTTGCAGACATAGAGTTATGCGAATATTTGTGATCAGTAGTTAATGGAATTTTGTGTTATTAAATTGTCAAAATATAGTAGAATTTTAATGGCGGACATTCTAAGCTACGGTATGTTGGAATTCAGACTGAATATGTTGCCTACCACCTTTCCTAAAAATAGAAGCAGAGATATAAACGTGCGGACATTTTTGAGTGGTGTGGGGGACGACTTTTCCATCTCGTTCGGGGCGCGAGGTAGTTCAGACTTCTACGTTAGGTCACAATTTTGACTGCACAGTTCTATTGAAGCGGGTGGGTTGGCTGTTCAACCGGCTACCGTTCAATGAGTCGCGGTTCCGATTCCCTCACCGAGACCAGGAACAATAATTTGTGTTATCCATATATTGTTGTTTCGCGTCTGGTTGTGATATGTATGTTTTAGATGCACCCACAAAATAACAGAAAATACAATATGGGATCACGTTCTTTAAAAAATATATGTTTTGTGGGACATACTAATTGTATCGAAAATAACGACTTACTTTCGTAAAAATCTTAGAAATGCTCTACTAGTTTCAAGTCACAACGGGACTCTTATTCAAGATCATGTAACTGGGCGAGCTTTATTCACGTGGTAAGGCGTTAGTTTAAATAAAAAAATATATTATCTACGACGAGGTGATCAGAAATCACAATTATTTATTATGTTAGTTATGTAAATTCAGGTTATGATGTGCAGATAATTATCAGATAAAGAGATTATGTTTCATATAAGTATTTATTATTATAAATAACTCTGTCTCTTTTACTCCTATTAACAATACAGAGGTTCATGATCGTTATTGCCCCTTGAACTTTCGATATAGACCCTTGTAAAGAACTATTCAAAATAAAATGGTTCTTCACATCATATGATTCGACGGGTATATTTCTTTTTTTGAAAAATAGAACGATATATTTTTCTGTCATTTTAGAAGTGATATTAGCTCTGAGGTTATTAAGTTTCTGGACCAATGATTATATGCATTGATCTCACGCTACGTTTCGCTGAAGCCAATATTAGCTTAGGATTACATTATTGACTTAAATGAGGTTTCAATTTATTCTTTTTTTAGTTTAAATTTCTTTGACATTCTATTCAATATTTCATCAAAGGGTTTAAGGCATGACTTGCCATGCGAGGCATATCTGATTTAATACGAGTACCTATTAATCATTTTTGCAGTATATAATCACAATAAATAGTTAAAATGTACACACGTTACTTTAATGTTGTGGTTACTTAAAAATCATAATTAATCATATTTTTTTCATTTATATTATAAACTGTAAATAAAGTGTTTCTAGACTGCTGTTGCAGATACAGATAACTTCACATCCACAATTGAATCCAGATCAGGTCTGGTACGGTATAAAATATCCCCCATTCCCCGTATCGACTCTGTGAATCGGTGTAAAAATAACATTTTGGGTTCAAAGGACGAACGACGTGAAAATTGTGGGATATCTGGCTCATTGCCAATCCGACAGACAAGCTTTTCTCAGTTGATACAAGTTGGAAGGGCAACGTAGACGATGCCATTTTTCTAACCTTTAAACCACCAACTTGTTCCAAGCTAAAATGAAATCACTTTTATATTTTGTTTATTTTTTTCACTTTTCTACCCTAACTCTTTCTGCGGATTTCTACCCAGCTCTCCGGTACTCTGACATACCTAAACCACTTGAATTATGATCTTCAATCCCCCTTATAAGCGTGGAGTTATTACAAACTCACTAAGGTCTAAAGGGCATTTTACTAGCTAAATTACTAAAAATTTAAATTCTTTCTGCAGAAATACTCAAATAATCCTTTGTCATATTTTCCCACTTATTACCAATTTTTCGTTCATCCTCTTTGTAATTAGATTTATCAATAAACCGTTTTTATGATTGTCCTTTCTGTAATATCGTGATCTCTTTGATTTCTTATTTCCTCTCTCTTGGACGAACCTTGTCATTTTCTGCATCTGTTGCTTTGATTAAATTCTTTACGGACTCAGTGACAACTTCATTTTGTCTCGTACTAACTGTACCGTGCCAGTTCATCTTCTATCTTTTATTAGTTTACGCCTTAGTACCAACAAGACTTAGTTCTATAATTAGTTTGAGATTTTTTGTTTTGCAAGGTGTGCTTCCATTAAAAGATAATAAGGTAAGAAAATAGTGCTCAGTCTGAGAGAAAGATTTTTATAATTAATATTATTTTAAGATGGCTCTCTTGTTTTAATAAGATCTGTTATCTTTTTAGCGATTTAAAGCATTTCATTAGATAATTAAGATCTACTTTTGGCTCCTACTGAGAGATTCCATAATGAAAGACTGTAATTAGTAAAACTATACACGGGTATTCATTCTTCAAACGTATTACATGTGTTCATCCATCACAAAAATAACATTCACATAAAAAATCTAAATTGAAGAATATGCGATAGGAAAAACTGAACATAAAATACATCAGAAAACATTATCGAACTTGGAAAGCTGAAAAAGTCTCATAAACCGAATTGACTGGTCAAAGAAAATACTTGGTTACCCAACTTACCGAAACATTAAAAACTTATTGCCAACTTTAAGTAACAGAAAGGAAATATCTTCCCCAATAAATGTTTCAAAGCTCTCAACTCTGAAATTCTTGGAAAGGTGCATATCAGAAGTTTGTATAGAAAAGTCGGTAATTAGTAAACAAAGTGGACTTTTCTGTCTCGTTTATAATCGAAACTTTGCGACATGGTTTTCTTTTATTTTATTTCTTAGTTCTGAGAAATGGGGATAAATAATGCTGCCTAATGATAAAGTAGTAAAATTGAGTTAGGTACCCACAAGACACGCTGTCTTTGTTTGATATCCAAAATTTGGGTATACATTTACATACATGTGTACTTAATATATTGTGTTGTTTAAAAATAAAATCATTGTCAAGATTTCACAAACTCAGCTAAAAATTTAAATTAAGAATTAGCTACGTTTTTTATAATATTGATTAAGTCGCCACTGCCAATAATTTACATTTCAGTTTGGTCGAGTCGAAGTAAACTACTGAAATGTTACGGCGGGAATAACTGAATGAACTCGTGACTAAAATAATCTTTAATAGTATCTTCTCCTATTTCCAATAATGAAACTTGAGTAATTTTACCTTGTTTACTTTGATTAGTTTTCTTGAAGGTAGTATTACAAGCACATTGATTTTGGATGAAATGTTATGATAGACTTGTTAATTTGTAATAGTTTTAAGAAATATTAACTTGTTTGTTATAAATTTCCCTTCAAAATAAAAGTAAGCATGTACAAGTATCTTGCCGGCTAGCAAGCATATACAAAACGGAAAAACACTATGCGTGATCCACAAATTGTTTTCACGGATTGGGGTGGTTTGTGTATGTGAATTTGTTTGTTTGTAAACGCACTCACGACACAGGAGATAATCCTAGTGTGGGACAGTTTTTTTAAAACAAAAAGGCAAAATGTTAAACCTATGAAACGACTTTCATGACAATACGCATGAAATTACTACAGAACAGTTTCACGGACCTTAACTGAGAAATTGAAATCGACAGTTTGAAGTAAAATATTTTTTTCATTTCAGCCGATCATCACCATATCGTTTGCTGTAGCAGTCTTGTCTCATATAATCCTGGCGACTACAATGTTGATTCAACACCAAGGAGGTTCTACGCCAGGGTGGTTGCCTGTGCTTGCGATAGTAACATTTTTCGCCTTCTTCGCTGGCGGGATTTCTCCAATGCCGTATATCATTATGACTGAGATGTTTAATTTCCAAGTAAGTAATTTTATTACCTATATTTTTGCACATGACCCCGATGTTGCGATGAATTTTTAAATCGAAAAATTAAAAATATTTTGCCGCTCTAAAACTATCACCACATAATATAAAACAAAGTCGATTTCTCTGTCGCTTAATCCTTGTGTATGCATGAATCTTGATAACTACGCAATGGATTTTTGCGTTTTTTTTAATGGGTTAGCCTGTCGCTAGTATTCTAATAATGAGTAAATAGAATAAATATATCGAAAAAAATAAATCGAATTTCCAATATTTCTGAGCCAAATTGCGCAGTTTTAAATAAAATGTCTACTTTCATTATCCTTAAAATAATTGGAATTGTGCTTTATTGACGATTCATGGACTTGAGAAGGATACTGTATCAAAACGGCATTTATATTTAACAGTCCGGTAACCAAAATTGGTTAGCTTATTCTAACTAAAAACCACAAGACAATCACAACAAACATGTAAGGAGTCTCAAATGTCCATACGTAATTAGAAACTGTCAACCCGAGCCGTAAACCTCAGGTAGTCTTGTTTCAGGATCATTTTGAGAATTACTTATGCAGGCACTTACTGTGTTCGGGCAGATTTACAGAAATTCATAGATATAACCACGAACAAAGCCTTTAGGCCCAATTCTGACAATTGTTTGTATATCAAAGGAAATTGTCCGCATAATTTGCTAGTTTCCATTTGGACCTTTCATTGATTTACATGTGTTGATAAAACGAGTTCATCAGTAAGTCGCATTTTTTAAAACCGTCGATGTTGGATGTCGTTTTTAATTATTTACTAACACCTTTTTTTGATATACGTGGGGCGTGAAACCAATTAAAATGTTTCATGTCCTTCAAGAAAACCTTGTATCTGTGACGGCTTTGAATTTGGACTCTCACCTAACAAGTACACGACGTTTCAGCTTTGTCTTTAAGACAGGAATGCAAATCCATTGTCTAGTGCGTTCCAATTCTAAAGACAAGTGGTGGTCACCTAGCACCAGGTAGGCTTTTAAGACGAAATACAAGCACAAATTCTCCTTCGTCTGCCCCTATTTGAGTTCAATTCAAAGCACGATAATTGTTGGTTTATTTTATAAAAGACTTTTTTGGAACGGTAGCGTCTCCCAGTTTCGTATATTCCCTTAATTGGAGGCTTTGATTTATGTACTTTTCCTTCGGTCTTGTTTGGAAATTTCTCTTGTAATTTACGAAGCCATTATCTGCTTAGAATTATTCAAAGCTTAAACGTCTTACAGGTATAAAAGCACTCAAAAACCTTTCAAACCTAGATCGTAGATAAAGCGGTGATTTAAAAGATTTTTTTGTTTATCGTTTTAAGGTTATTTCAGCGGTGTTTCCCCAGAGCGTGCGAAAACACATTTTTTGTTACGCCCGTTCTCCGTTGCTATTTATAACAAAGATTCAACCGTCGATATCACATTTTTCACCGGCTGAATAAGTTTGTAAGGTTCATAGTGATTTTGTGAATAGATATTTAAATTTCGACTAAAAATAACTTTTTTATTATACTTCTGCTCTATTCCTTTTGCTAACAGTTGTTGGAAGTTGAAAGGGTTGAACTTTATTTAAAAATGCGGAAATTCACTATTTGTTATTCCTAGCAGATACGAACTGTAAAATTTTTTTTTTTTTTTTTAGTACATAGATAACTAATCGACAATTTTATTATTGAAAAATTGGCAATAGTATCAAGCAATACCATTTTCAGGCAGACATCTTTAACTGTTCATCAAAGAAAAATGGCAGTAGGAGGAGCCAATCACCAATTTGCTTGAACGTCTTTTATTGAAAAGCAACATTAAGATTAAATGGTTTTTTATTTCTCTACATTCTCAAAAATCAAAATATCGTTACGTCACTCAATTTTTCTCGTTATTCTTGTTAACTTATAGCCATGTCAGCTGAAACACGGCGTGGCTTAAAAATTTCAAAAAATAAATGCTTTAGCCCTGCAATTTATTTTTTGCTTTTATATGTCAATCTCTTGTTATAACAATAAATATATTTTTATTACTTAATTTCGAATGGTAGTTTAAGTCTCTTCAACTAGCTAGCAATTACTTTGAGTGAATTGAATTGAATAGAAAAAGTTTTAAGAAGTATATAAAATGACATATTGTGTGAAATATTAAGTGAAAAGAATGTAATCATACTTCTATACGAATGTAGTTATTTTTTACATCGTATTTTACATTAAATTTAAATAAAAATAAAAGCTTATGGTGACTACACACACACAGTACACTTTTAATCAGTACACATGTATTTTTTGCTTTTTATCATTCAGAAAATGGAAAATATTAAAACTTATTATGTATTTTTTGTCCAACAAATACACAGCATACACTAGCTGTAGCTAGTAATTTTTTATTCAAAAACACTGATGTGCCTGTTTTTTGCGAACAGGCTTTTTTATAAATCCAACCTTTTCTTCCGGCAGAAGCGTCTCCGTAAGCTTCTAAGGTAGTATAAAATTAAATATAGACTGAAATAACCAGATATCACAGATTCTCGTATGATGTTGCTTTCTTTTCATTTTTCCGGAAATGTGATATTGCTATTGAAACCTTCCAGGCTTCCATATTAGTAGACAAAAACTTTGTTATTGAAAAGTTTTAAAATCCATTTCCATGTGAGAAGAGACTTTTGCAAAGCTATCGGCTCTTTTGCAAAGCTATCGGCTGATAATGATGATGATGATAATTTCAGCTTGCCACTTTAATTTTTTGCCCTTTTGGACAAAATGGATTTTTTTTTGTTATCGAACCGACTAAAATCACACGTATTCCTTGCATAATTTAAACCGGGTACGCCCTTGAAAGGATATCATTGAGTGAATGCACCACTTGACAGCATCTACACTTGCTTTAAGGGAGAGATACATCATGAAAAGACTGGCCCCGCCAAACCTTGGGGTGATAGCTGGTTTGAGCTTGTAACCAACGCAACGGAGCTCAAGGAGACTTGAGGTCTGTTTCTGATCTACCAGCATCTCTTGCGCCTTCGGCAACACGAGAAAAGTCTGATCCTTACCAGTTTCCTCTTCAAGGCCTCCAAACAAAATCAGCCTTATTTTTTTAAGACTAGTTTATGTGTGACTACGTGCACGTAAATTCAAATACGAATTGTTTTTCTACATTTTAAGCTGACTCATCGTAATTTAATTAGACCCTGTCACATGAGAATTGTACGAAAAGAAAGCCGAAATATTTTATGTGCCTGTAAATATTAGATCGACATCGATTTTCGAGGTAACACGTAACATTGGGTTGAGGTTTAGTTGCCTATATGTATACATATATATGAAAGCCAATTCGTGTTATATAACTTGTAATTTGGAGATTATATAAAAGCTGAATCAATTAACCATTGTTTGGTAATATTTGTATTCATTTCGAGTAAGATTTCATTTCAATGAAAAATTTATTGATCAATAATGTATTTGAAAATATTATTATTTACTAATGAACATATACATAATCACATTATATCTTATTAGCTTCAATCACTTTTGTATGTACAGCCCTGATGGAAAGCAGCCTTTGTGTTATTACAGATTCTGATTATAATAATATCTCTCTGTGGCAAGTTTTCGTTAAAATCCATTCAGTAGTTTTTGTATCCATAAGAACTTTTAGAGTTCGAGAAACAAATTAAAAACAATGCAATAACACGATATACGTATTGCAGTAAATAATAACAGCTACTCTAAATACTACCTATCGTGTAGATATAATCGGGCACTGCAAAGTTCCCGCCTAATTAGATTCCACAAGCTCACGGCAGAGTTCTAGGCGATTTACATGTCTACTCCCGGGAATTTGAATTTAGAACTGCGCTAGTTGGAACGGTTTTTCTATCTCGCTAAAATGGCAGCACGCGACGCGACGTTGAACTCTAAATGCTTTTCCTACTTTCTAGAATTTTGGGTGTCACGTAGTAAAAGATTGGCCGGGAGTTATGGTGAGAGCGTGTAATGACTCTTTAGATTTCGATTTAAGTAGCTTTTGTCTTTGATATGGTAGTTTCTTTTACTATTAGACTGTTGTTTGTAGTGTTAGAAAACATAGATTTTTCAAAATGATACTATTAGTTATTTAATTAGTTTCCTTTTGTGGAGGTTTTCAATCATCAAATTACTTCAGAAACGAAACGAAGTGTCGTACAATTGACTACAAACCATCCTGTTCTTTCTCCTGTTCAGGGCTAGAAGCGTGGTATATTATTGCAATTGCACTTGGAACTCGGTGTTTATAGCTGTATTAATAGTACTTTGGAGAACAATTTTTTTTATGGTATAAGTCGGCAAACTAGCATACGGATTAACTGATGGTAAACAATCGGCGCCGCCCATGGACACCCGCAACACCAAAGGAGTTACGTGTGCGTTGCCGGCCTTTTGGGGATAGGGGTCCTCCCCAAAAGGCCGGCAACGCACACCTCCGGTAACCTCACTCATACGGCGAAACACAACATTTACATGATTTCTATCATAAAAAATGTTTTTTCGTTAAAGCGCTCTCTTTTTCACTACTGTCTAAAAGTACAACCTCACGACTCCTAAAACTATTTTGAAAGTACCTTATTTCCAATCAAGATTTTTAAGATTACAGACACAGTGAACTCTGATATTACAGTATCTGTTCTACTAGCAACTAATGGGTTTTCGATTAAGTTTCAATGCCACATTTCAATCAGTAGTCAACGAACATTTCTTTTCACCTTTAAGGGAAATTGATTAATAGATTAGTGCCTACTGTCTCAGACAGCAGTTTGAATTCAAATGTAGTTTAAATCCGAATTAATTTCGGAGGGTTTTTGGAGCAACTGCACAACATGATAATAATAAACTGGTTCTTAAACATCCATCTACACGCACAAAACGGTTAGCCTCTAGTTTTAATATATGAACTGAAATCAAATTCTTTGCCACAGTCCGTGTTCCACAGTCCGTGTTGTGTGTTGAATGTAAACTTGGATCTTTAAGGCCCGAATGAATAGTTTGTGAATACCTTGTTGTCGTGCTGGCCCGGTGGTTAAGGCGCCCGCTTCTCATGCTTGAGGGTGTGGGTTCAAAACCTGGCAAGTACCGATGTAACTTTTTCCGAGTTATTGTACTTTTTATTATGATTATTTAGACACCACTGAGATACGGTGAAGGAAAACATCGTGAGGAAACCTGGACTTATGATTTCTAATTAAAGCCTTGAGTAAGCGTGGTGATAAATGCTTAAACCTTCTCTGTGTGAGAAGAGGCCTTTGCTCAGCAGTAAGCACTTATAGGCTGATGATGATGTGATGTGTGTGTGAATAGTTTGACTAAACCTGAAAACATCAGTGAGTTCCTCTCATCTATACTTTATTCTAATTACTTAAAGTATTATAACATAAATTATAAACCGTTTAAATAACTAGTGCGGTTTAAGAGATAATAGGTAACTCCTAAATATATTTGCAATTATCCTTTACCAATATACGATCATTTGTTAAAACATCGAGGCTAATAGCTTTTTAAATTTCAGGATAACTTTGAAAGGACCATCAATATTCGTTGGTTTTAATGTTTTTAGCTCACAAAAGGATTTTGGTTGCGTATCGTGATATCATAAAGGCGTTGTTTTATTACCCATATTGAATGTTTAGAGTAATATTTCACTTGATGAATGAGTGATCAAGTTCAATGTTCGGGTCACAAGTTTAAGCAATTACTCTAATAACATGAGGACTGATATTGTGCCTAGCAGTTAGCGAGAGAACTAGACTTCTTTGCCAAATTTTTAATTTTTAAGGTCATTCATTGTGTGGTTGCATTTTGGCGCAACTTAGTCGTAGGAATACTATTCTTGTTTTAATCACTTTCAGACTTACGATAGGAAAACTTCAAATACATTTAATTTAAGAATCTAAAATTGTAAACAAGAGTCTAATATGCTAAGTCAATGCTGCAGTAAAAGGCTCAAATTTCAGTTCGAAATCCACATGGACATTTGATGACACGAATGCCACACCTCAATCACAACATACCTTGATACTTCGTTCCCTTGAGCCTCATTACTTTGACCGTCTATTTGGACTAGTCGATTAAGGTCAATCAAATCGTAAGCGAGGACTATGCCAACAAATTAGATGCTTGAGTAAATTATAACCATGTACATATGTGTGGTGTGGTCGCTCGGAGTCATTAATTAGACATGTATATACATATGTGTGTGTTTGGTCAAACTGAACAGTCTGATGATCATTTTGTAGTATTTTGATTAATACGAGTGTATATTTTTATGATAGTTCTTGTAGGTGCACTTTATAATGAGTTTTGATCAGGTATCCGGGGTGGTTTTTGGTTAGTAAGAGTCTGACTCTCCCTTGTGATCTGACCTCCTTGTGACAGAGCGGGATAAAAGAAACTGAATTAGCAACATTAGGAACTCTTTGCTAATTTACAGTAAGTTACATCTTACGATTGCGACCTTAGAATATAATAATAATAGTAACTACATATAGTGGGTATTAAACGTACAATAGTTTACTTTATAAGACAAACATTTAGAAGCAAGTTCGCGTTATAATTTAAGCAGTACATTCATACGCAGTTCTAGCATATGAAACCTAAATACATTAGTAAAACGTTTAGCTTTTCATTTAGGTAATGTCTAGGTGTTCAGACGCACCAAGAATTTCTGAGTAAAATTAATGAGAATAATTTCTTAAGACACGTATTAAGAAAATGTGTGTTTATTTACTAAGTAATGTCTATGTAATTCTATTTTGTTAGAATGAACGGAGTGATCACGATTAATGGACATAATTCAAAGGCCTCAGGCTGAGTCCAAAAATTTACTTGTACGCTTGTCACGCCCCAGCCGCTGTAGTAGGCGACACTCCGGGCGCGGGGTTCGAGAGACGATAACCGGCCACCATAAGCTCGGGTCTGCGGAGGGCGAGTAAGGGTAGTTCGCCGCCCGACCAGAACCAAGAAAAAATCTTATAGTTATTACTCGGTACATACTTTGTACGTCGATAACGTGAATTAATTACACTGTTTCTGCAGGTGTTATAGTATTTCTGTAGTTGCTATTACCCCAGTCCATAGAAACCTTGCCTCTTGTTTCCATCTTCCGCAATAGTTTTGCACTAACCGTGGACTCCACAATGTAAATGATATAAATAAATGCATCAATTCATCCATTGGTTTACTCGAACATACCGAGTACCTAGGTACTCGTGTGTGATTTGAAAAATCCTTAATTTTTTTATTTATTTTCAGATACGAGCAAAGGTGATGGGTGGTCTGGTGACACATGCGTGGTTCATGTCATTTGTCGAGTTACTCTCCTTCACAGCTATAGCGGACTTCTTGGGAACGTACTCAGTAGTCTACATCTACGCTGGATTGAACCTCGTAGGCGTCATCGTCAGTTTTATATTCTTACCAGAGACGAAAGGAAAGACTTCCGAAGAAATCGAAAATGATTTGGTGAAGAAAAAGTGATTTGTAATTATTTTTTTTGTTATGCTGCCATTGTAAATAAAATGCAAACTGAATTGAATTTGCTTATCGAATACAACCAAAAAGTTTGAATTAAGTTTTTTTTTTGTTAGGAAGACTAGCTATGATTTATAGATAATTTGTCTTAATGTATAGGGCCTGTAATATAAGTTTTATAAGAAAAAAGAGTTTAATGTTCAAATAAAAAACAATTCCAAAATTATATGTAAGTACTTAAATTCCTTGTTCATTTTAAGTTAATGTGTTTATTTCTGATGGGAACAATAAGAAGCTTGAAGTGAAACACTTGATGTATCAAGGCAAATAGTTGAATCTTGATAATTGAAAATACACTGAATAACAAATGATTTAACACTGAAATTTGCGTGACAGGTTTATGCAGGGTTTAAGTGGTTCCATTGCAATGTCTACATAAAGTTGTTATGATATATTGTTATGTCCAATTACATAAGCCTTCAAGTGCCTACTGCCGAGCCAAGGTCTCTTCTCACACGGAGAAGGTTTGAACATTATTCACCATGCTTGCTCAAGACGGATTGGCGATTTCAATCTTCTAATTAGAAATTATAAGGCCAGGTCACAATGTTTTCCTTCACCCTTTCTCAGTGGTGTCTTAATAATCTCAGAAACTCGGAAAAAGTCACATTGGTACAACTTGCCAGAATTCAAACCGCAAATTTTGTCTTGTATATGTTTGTGAATATGATTATAATTCTAATTAAATAATTTAATTTGGGGTTTAAAAATAAAGTTGTAACTCAATTTACATCTACTGTTTTTGAAAGACTAAAATTAAATATAAATTCGAATAATTTGATAAAGGTTCTTAAATACAATTTTAAGTAAACATTAGTTATTTAAGTAACGTCTTACAATAACAGCTTGTATTTCATTTCAACATATTTTTATATCAAAATAATTCAATATACCAAGTTATTTGTTATGCAAGTCAGAAAATAAACATTGAATCATACACAGACAAGTTGTATAATAATATGGTTTTTAATGAAGCCATATTTTTTGTAATAAACAAAATGCTATATATATAGTATATATACAAAATGTTAGTGTATTTTTTAATAATAACTATTGTGAGACATTCCAAATTTATTGGGAATAGCGACTTACATACTGAAGTCTCACTGATCAGTCGATTGCATGACGTCACTTCGACGCGCACGCTGCTTATGAATAAGTCCCGTTGTGACTTGAAACTGGTAGAGGTTTCAACAGTTAATTCGCATAAGTAAGTTCTTATTTTCAATAACTGTTAATGTACTAAATCAATCTTTACTTTTACAGTTTTGTAGCTGCATTCTCAATAATTGATGATTGTACAACAATATCAATGTAAAAACTATTTTTTTTCCAACAAGTTTTTACGTGCAGTATAAAGTTCAAGTTATAGTGTTTTCCTTTGTAAAACACTTGAGATAATAGTAGACTTTTCCGAAGTGATGTTTAAGTGGTACTCAGTATTTCCAAGAATTCTCGATTTCGTATTGTAAGATGAAATATTTCAATATGTTTAAAAGTGTTTTATGAAATACCTAGGAATACTTTATATGGTAAAGTGCTGGTGTTTAAGAAATTATGCTAGCATTTAGCAGCAATTCATTTTAGAAGAATAAGAAACACAATTAATATGAATACAAGTAGTTTTTAGGCGAGATTTTAGGTACAATATCCTGGAATGGACTTTGGACACAAAAAGTAAAGTGTTAGGGAGCCAAGCTTCGGCACGAATGGGTCGGCTCGACCGGAGTGATACCACGGCCTCACAGAAAACCAGCGTGAAACAACCACAGCGTTGTGTTTCGCCGTGTGAGTGAGGTTACCGGAAGCCCAATCCTTCCCCTCCCCCAATCCTTCCTCAATCCCCAAATCTCCAAATCCCTGATCCCTAAAAGGTCGGCAACGCACTCGTAACTCCTCCGTTGCGGGTGTCCAAGGGCGGCGCTGATTGCTTACCATCAGGTAATCCGTCTGCTCGTTTGCCGACCTATTACATAAAAAAAAGTATGGGTGAGGTTTTGTTTCATCAATTGATTCCTCGCGTCCTGGGCTTGGCGAGAGTGTCAGATGGTTACTAAGAAATATGTTCAGGGCAGGGATTAAAAAGGAGGTTGAACACACGATTCATAATAGGTGATATTGTGATCGTACTAATTCTATTGTAAGTACTTAAAACAGACTGAGGCTTATAATGTTTTTAATGATAAGCACAAGAACTATACATAGATTCATACAATGTAACTGAATTCGATTTTGTGCTAATCATTAAATCACCGGTGAATTTAATTGTCAATTATTTAAGGTACATGCCTAATATAAAATAAAAATAAATTGTTTAATAATCTTATTTTTAGTTTATTAAAAGTCAATTTTAAAAAAAATGTTGCCTTTTTATTTATACCAGCCGCTTTTTTTCTTTTCATTTGCATATTATAAATAGACAGTCTCTAGCTTTATTGAAGCGTAGTTTTCAAGATCATAATTATAAGTAATATTCGAAATAATTATCAAAAAACTGATATATTTTGAAACCAACTTATTTTTTTTTGATAATTAGTCAATAAATGTTATCTTACATTACTATGTCCCATTTATAAACTTTAAATAAAAAAATACTGAAATTAACTGAAATTAAAATTGAAGACAAATTAATGAATTTGAAATTCTCAGGCAACTGCCGAATTTAATACATTTTGGTTACCTATCTATTTGTGTTCCAAATGGTTATCAACTTGACTTCCCGCTAGTTTCAAAAACCTCATTTAGGAAGCTCGTTAAAAAGTCAAACATTTTCGTAATGATTCTGAATGTTCCATGTATGTTTACACCAACCTGTTTACATAAATGAGAAAATAAATAGGGATTGCTACACATAGTGACATTAAAAGATTATTTTTCCTTTGCTTTAACTCCAAGATTTTGCTTCTACGAATGTCAGTGTGTGTAAGTTGATTTAGAGAGTATATATACATATATTACTTAGATTGCTAATTATCAGGTTTCAACACTCAATATTATTGTATGAGAAACGAACGCCTTATACTTCTGGCCACCATGACCACTATGAGAATAAAAAATGACAATACCTACATAAATAAATAAAAATAATTTCAAATTCCGATTCAAAAATAGTATTCATTTTTGAATCGGAACTATCGTCAGTTGGCCGCGACGTCGCTGCGATGTACGCTGCTCATGAATAAGAGTCCCGATATGCTTTGAAACTAGTAGAGCTGTTCTCGAGAGTAAGTTGTTATTTTCAATAAATTCAATAAAAAAATGAATACTTACAATACACAAAATACAAAAATAAGTTTTGTTATACTTAGATATTATAGCTCTTCATTCGTCCTACGTTCATTTGAATTGTATTAAAGAATTAGCATTACCAAAACATTAGGTACTTATATAAGTCGTCCAAAGTTAAATTTAAAATTAGACCAAAATAACAAAATTATAATTCTACTTTTGTATTGAATGTTAGTCTAGGTCTTATTTTCTCTTAATAACATTTAGACAGACAGACAAACTTAGGTAATTAAGTTTGCCGAAAAATAACTTTAGGAAACAATGTTTGTGTCAACTAACAAAGAAATTTTACCAGTTTTTATTTGAACTTGAATTCTTGGGTACGAAATTCGAGAGGAAGTGTCAAACTTTCTGATCAAAAATCACCACATTCTTTCTCCTGCTCAAGCTGCGTTTGACCCGAAACCATATGAAACCATTTAAAGTGTTGGAGAACCAAGCTTCGGCAAGAATGGGTCGGCTTGACCGGGGCTATACTACGGCCTCACAGAAAACCAGCGTGAAACAACCACAGCGGAGTGTTTCGGCATGTAAGTAAGGTTACCGGAGGCCCAATCCCTCCCCCATCCCTTCCCAACTCATAAATTTCCGAAATCTTTATCCCTAAAAGGCCGGCAACGCACTCGTTACTCCTTTGGTGTTGCTAGTGTCCATGGGTGGCGCTTGTTGCTTACCATCAGGTAATCCGTCTGCTAGTTTGCCGAAGAATACCATAAAAAATAGTGAATGGGCACAATGCAACAACAATAACAATCGGCACGTATATCGAAATCGGTTATGCATGCGGCTTCCCCTGACTTTGATAGAATAACAGAAATCTAATCAAACTTCAAGTCTATCTTAGAACTTCGTAATAACATTCTACAATGATAGTTGTGGCTTTCAAGATATAGAGTATATTACACTTTGAAGAAACTGGATCGAAGATTTTAATAGTTTGGCAATAGCTTTTTGGCACAAAATTTAATAGGAGGGAGATTTTTTTTTGTCTTAGAAAAAACGTTGCCCCACACTAGGATTTTCTCCTGTGTCGTGGGTGCGTTTACAAACATACAAATTCACATACACAACACACCCAGACCCGAAACAACAATTTGTGGATCACACAAAGTGTTGTTCCGTACGGGAATCGAACCCGCGACACGTTGCACAGCGGCCAGTTGCCCAGCCACTGCGCCAACTGTGCAGTCATTCAACCTTTCGGATTTATTTACGAAATACCTAGAAGCAACGCTTTTACATTGCCAGTCAAAGTTTCTCATATGTTGAGGGTTTTATCATGTCTACAGCTGGTAGATGTCTTGGAGATCGCAGCCAAGACAACAAAACTTAAGAAGATGTTACTATTTATCTCTATAAACCTAAACATCCATGTTTTTACAACACCGACTAATCCAAACTAATATTATAAATGCGAAAGTAACTCTATCTGTCTGTCTATCTTTTCTTCACGCCTAAACTCCTGAACCGATTTCTATGAAATTTGGTACAGACATAGTTTGGAACTTGAAAAACGACATAGGATAGTTTTTATACCAAAAATCTGCAGGAAGTCACTATTCCACTCGAACGGCGTCTCGGGCAAAAGCTAGTATGTTATAGTATTATTCCCTTATACACAACAAAAATGTCACTGACAAGAAGAGATCACATATTATGTCACGCAAAAAATATCAATTGCTAAAATGGCAGATTTGCAAAATTAACCTTTCGTGCTTTCGTTATAAGCCTCAATTTATGAAATGAACCGAGATAAAATACGTGTTGACAATAACAAATGACTGGTGAGAGGGTGCCTAATGAATTTGCGTTGATTAAATGCTTAAATTAGCAAACTCCGCTTAATTTAACACCTTCATTTTGGAAAAGAATACCCTTTGTTGGGATATCAGGTTGAAATATTCTTCTGTTCCTTTTCTAAGCTTTGTTGAACGACGAAAGAGGACAGTTTATTTTGTAGGGGCCAAATATTGTAATGCCTGTTCACATTTTATTATTGAATTAAAAACAAAATGTAAGTAGCCACTAACTTCCAAATTTCGTGTTTCATATTTACAACATAAATAACGCGGGTATTAACGCGAAAATAATTATCTAAGAAAGAAGAAGATTCATCGCCCGAATGCGGGGGATTGTGACATCGCATCTTCAGTCTGCTTGTGACCACGACCTGTGCAACCAGGTCGAAACGTCAAGTCTACCAAGGTATTTAGATAATTATTTTCGCGTTTAGCCCGCGTAATTTGTATTGTAAAAACATGTAAGTAAGTAAGTATTTTTTATAGCAAAAAAATACTACAAAACATTAAGCGTGCGGCTAAAGCTCTTCCCATCTCTATAGATATATAGTTGAAATAAACTAAAAAAAAAAAATAGTTGAAACAAACTAAACAATAATCCCGAATTTAAACAAGAACTTAAGGTTTATTAACCTCAGTATAAGGATATCAACTCGTTATCATAATATTATAAATTTACAAATCTCTCCAAAATTGTCTCTTTCAAAATGTATATACGGACTACGTAAATTAAAAATAATCACCGAAAATGTTATAATTTTTCCCGACTTTAAGCAGCAGAATTTCCTGGCTTCGTAGCAATTAAATAGTACCAAACCTGTTGACCGCCCGTTGCGGGAAAATTATGTATCCAGCTTAAATTTCACTACGTATGCCAGATCTCTCTAGAGAGATATAAATAATTTCAGATTTCATATTAAAGTTATTTAAAAAATTTGTATATACACATAATCAGTATCTTAGAAAATAATTACTAAAACATTTTTTGGTTTCGACTTTTCGGTTTTATTTATAAAAAATAGGTTATGGCGTTCAGTTTCGTTATGATTAAAAAGGTGATATCGTGTTGACGTAATTTCTTTACTAGCGTGGAGAAAAATTTTGCGTGCTACGTCAGGTAAATTTGTAAATAGTTATGAAAAGTCTGATAGCGATCACAGGTCATTGGCCTTATAAAATAAATGTTCGAATGAAGAACGTGTAGATATTAGCCCAAGTTCTCCAATCCTAGCATTCACGACCATGAACTGGAAGGTCATAAAAAATAATCAAGGTAAACTTTATACAGAAAATGCAACACATATGCAACAAATATACTCACTGCAGTGAATAAAGTTCTCAATTGAGCCGTATATGTCGATAAAGAGGAGATATAGGCACTTACCGCATCGTTGTTGATGAAGAAAGACAGATTGGCAGCCGGTAGCGAGTGCCGGCTGATGCACTCCACTTTTAGCTTCATACCGGGCCGGTACCGACGTTTAAGACCGTGCATTGAGGGGCCGGATTTGGGCAGAACTGTGAAATAAAATAATTAAGTTATGAGGTGAAAACATTAAAATAGAGAAAAGTAAACAATACTATTAAAATTTATTTCTTTGCAACAATTTCTGGTGTGCCTAAGGACCTGCTTTTCTTATTCTGACTGTCAATCAAAATTTAAGAAACCTACTCATGTGCTGATCTTAAGTCGGATAAGTATTGTCTGTCCGCCACCCATTCAACTTTCTGTTGACTGCATCTAAGTTTGAATGACCTATAAAAATATGTTATCTCTAGATAGGTAAAAAGTGAAAAAAGCTTGACAAAAAGATGTCACATATTTGATGTGACCTAGAGACCTAGATTACTTCACCTCAGAAGGTCAAAGAGAAATTGCGAATCGAATCGAAAAGCGTTCAAAAGGCATACATGTCTTCATATTCATATTGTTTATTGCATTCCATAATGTAAGGTGGAAAAGTAAAATATAAAATTGACACAATTATGGAACGTATGTAGGTAACAACAATGTATTTCGAAAGTCAAATCATCTTCTGCAATTTGAGTGATCGTGTACCTAATGTTTGAGGCAAGTTCATTGACACCGGCTGCGTTGTTTGAGTGACCTTAAAGTCGTAAGTCGCAACATGATATTGTTTCATAAAACAAATGCACATTTAGCGCACACAAAAGTTTTAGTGACTTTTGTATGCTCGTATTGTTACTAAATACAGTAGTATACCACTACATAGTACTATAAAACAAAATCCTAAGCATACATAGGGATATAGGGACTGAAAACGAATTTCTCTATCCTTATATCCCTATGAACGCTTATATCAATAAACTGTACAATTGGTTTTTAAAGAGTGATTGAAGAGGAAGGTTAATGTTTATAACATCCATTATATAGTGAATAAATTTAGTTGCTATGCCTATACTTTAATGCTTGTAATCAAGGGAATTATTATAAGTAAGTAATAACTGCTATTAACATTTTATTCAATACATATATTTGATCTCCTTGCATGTACGTAATAGAGTTTTTCAAACTGTTTCGAACATCAAAAGCTTTCAAATGGTAAAGGTCGATATATTATAGCTAACACTGAGAATGAGGAAAATAAATAAAACTTTCGATACCTAGTATGTTGCTGAACAATCCAAATACGAAACATCAACGATTTTAGTGACACGAAAAATTCGACAAGAAATTACGAATAAAAAAAAGTAATTATAATAATATTACTTTCAATGTTTATGGGACTTAGTTTACACAATTTCGTTTTCTAAAAGAGACGTCATGTCACCTGCTATTAGTAGAATTTTGTGAGTTATTCGTATAAACACTAAGAATATTGTACCTAAATAGTACCCCATCAATCTAGGCTTTAGTACCTACAGAAATAAAGTAATAACGAATGAGTATTTCATTTTTTCTTCGCTTTATTACTGTGGCTTTTTGGCTCAGAGAAAATAGACTAAGTATGTTTTAGTCCTATATTTTTCATACATTCATATTTTATCACGGTAACATAATGTAATCTGTCTTTTTAGTGTTGACGCTTTTGAATTACTGAATCTTAGAGTGAGTTCTTGTATAAAACGTTGTTACTAAGATAAATGGTTTACTGACCTACAAATTGTTGTTTTGGGTCTGGATGGTTTGTGTATGTGAATTTGTAAGTTTCTTAACACACCTACGATACAAGAGAAAATTCTACTCCAGGGCAACGTTTTTTTAGAGAAAATAAAATTGATTCAACGGTATTCGTTCTATCTATAACAACTATTAGAACTGAGTCGTGATTTCGACTACCACAAAAAAATATTTTTTTGTTCTATAAGCGATGCAAAAGAACTCTCCATTATGTAAGATACATTCATAATTCAATTTTTTTTTTAATGTAATAGGTCGGCAAACGAGCAGACGGATTACCTGATGGTAAGCAATCAGCGCCACCCATGGACACCCGCAACGGAGGAGTTACGAGTGCGTTGCCGACCTTTTAGGGATTAGGGATTTGGAGATTTAGGGATTGAGGAGGGATTGAGGGAGGGGAAGGGTTGGGCCTCAGGTAACCTCACTCACACGGCGAAACACAACGTTGTGGTTGTTTCACGCCGATTTCTGTGAGGCCGTGGTATCACTCCGGTCGAGCCGACCCATTCGTGCCGAAGGATGGCTCTCCTACCTTTATAAATGATGATAATCTATACTTTTTAATTATTATAAAGATGACAAGAAATTTTGTTTAAACATTATAATCTTGGGAAATACTAATTCGAATTGATCAATTATTGTTGTGCAGAAAAGATTATTGGATATAAAACATACACACACTATAACTAACATTAGCATAGAAATGCCGCGGTTATAGCTTATGACGAAGAAGTTAGAGATTGATTGATTTAACCCTTTGTTACATGGTAACCTATTTTATATTGTGTCTCATACACCGGTAGTTAAGAGGTTGAACCACTATTGCAGTACTTATTACATATACAAATCCAAAATCTCTCCCACTCAACACATAAGCTTTCCAAATAGCTTGTACAATCTGCTTAAACTAGAGTTGGATGATACTACAACATCAGTTGAAATAACTAGAGCACTCAAATGCCGTTTATATATGCATTTCCACAACGTATCTACTAAGTACTTCTCTAAGTGCAAGCTATGAACTTATATGTTTTGTATATACACTGTAATATGTGGTTAATAAATAAACTTTGGTTTCTAAGTGATCTAAATCGATTATCTTTGATTTTTTTTTCTAGCATAATACATATAGTATCGACTTTGCCATTTTTATTGACTGATACGTTGAAAGGGAACCGTTTGTCTTGGTATGGCCATGTGAAAAGGAGGGATGAAACGCATGTTACAAAAAAAAAATTTACAAAACAAAAAACCGCCTTCAAAAAAAGTCAAGCAACAAAAGTTCCTACACTAAAAAGTCAAAAATAAATATTTGAACTGCTGTAAAGGTGTGTAAAGGTGCCAGCATTTTTTTTTTATGTTGAAACTTAATGTTACTTAGCTTTTTAATATCCGGTGCCATTTTTCGTACATAATGCTTAAACATTTTCGATGTACTTAAAATGTGGCAGAAGGTTTTTGTAAGTATATATATATTTTTTTTAAATGTTTAAATCGGATATTTTTTGTAGAGAAGTCTAATCTGTATTTATGTCTTTATTAATATATATTTGAGTATGCAAATAGGTATTAAGTAGTTTTATAATTAAGTAAGAGGTAGTTTTTCAAGGGATTGTTGCCCATTTGTATTTCCTTGCCTGGGCTGGCACCGACTCCAAAAATAAGTAATAAATTTTGAATATTTGCAAAATATTAATGTCAAATAAGTTTACCTATAAATTAAGTTTGTTTACAGCAGTTCAAATTTTTATTTTTTACTTTTTAGTGTAGGAACTTTTGTTGCTTGACTTTTTTTGAAGGCGGTTTTTTGTTTTGTAAATTTTTTTTTTATTTGTAGCCGTTTAGTGTTTTTTTTTTATTATAATGTGTTATGGCAACGAAGTCAATATCCTTCCTACATTTCTTTGAAAAAGTTACCAATGTCATATAAGTTGGAATACATATAGGTGCATTGTTACAGTGTAATCGTATTGATCTCGAGGAGAGAGGATATGATGCATGAAATACTTATAATTCTTATAGTAGAAATAAAAAATAATCTTATCATAAATTCATATTAGTTCTCGCAAAATAACAAAAAACTAGATATGTATTTTCATTAACAGACAGATAAAGTTCAAAGATACCAACGCTATGCAACCTATTTTAGTATGATTAAATACTACTCTGTAAAGAAAGTACCGGGAAAAAGTCAATAATACACAAAATGTTTGTTATTCATCTAAATTTATTTTATCACCTTCAAAGTATGCTCCTTCAGAAACGATACACTTACGCCAACGAATAATCCAATCATCGAAACTTTTTTTAAACGCTGTTTCCGGAATTGAGTTCAGTGCTCGCCGCGAATTCTCCTTTATGTCTTCTAACGATTGAAAACGGGTGCCACGAAGGCGTAATTTAAGTGTGGGAAAAAGAAAGAAGTCGGCTGGAGCCATATCTGGTGAATATGGTGGCTGCTCGATGGTGTTTGTTTAGTGTTTGGACAAAAAATCGTTTACAATGATGGCCTTGTGCGAAGGCGCATTATCGTGATGCAAAATCCAAGAATTTTCTTTCCACATTTTTGGCCTTTTTCGTCGAATTTGTTCTCTTAAACGCCGCATAACGCTCAAATAATATTCTTTATTTACCGTTTGACCTTCGGGCAAGAATTCTGAGTGCACAACACCGCGATAGTCAAAGAAAACAGTCAACATGACTTTGACTTTTGATCGACTTTGACGTGGTTTTTTCGGTTTTGGTTCAGTTGGAAGGCGCCATTCCGAAGCTTGTTGACTAGTTTGCTTGTTAAACTCGTAAACCCACGTCTCGTCACCAGTAACAATGCGTTTCATGAATGTTGGGTCGGTATAGACTCGTTCTAGCATGTCCTCAGCGACTTTCATGCGATTTAGTTTTTGAAGAAAATTCAGGTCTTTTGGGACTAGCCGAGCGGCAACACGTTTCATACCCAAATTATTTGTTAAAATGGTACGGATCGACTCGTGAGATACAGAAAGTTCGGCGGCCATCTCTCTCAAACTTGAATAAGGATTTTCAGTCACTATTTCCTTCACTTTTGCGATGTTAACTTCAGTTGCAGACGTTGATGGCCTACCAGAACGAGGCAAATCTTCCATCACATCTCGACCGCTTTTGAACGCTTTGTACCACTCATAAGCACGTGTTTTTGATAAAGTCATTTCACCGTAAGCCTTCTGTTACATTTTGAGTGCCTCCGAACACGAAATTTCATTGGCGATGCAAAATTTAAGACAAACTCTTTGTTCGATGTTTTTGTCCATTATGAAATTCGCAATACACACTAGATATTATAAAACTAAAAACAGCACTGTTTTTAATATAAATAACAGATTCAACTCAAAATGGA